AAACAATGTGGTTGTCTGAGACAGAGGAAGGCCTATGGTTATGACCGAGATTTGATCCAGCAGTCAGAGATATATTATTATTTCTAGGTAAATTAGGTGTTGGATTGCTTGGTCTTATGGCATTGGTACGTGCAACACAACTACTCTGGTTGACTGTGACAGGTGGTTGAAATACCATCTGAACATTGTTTGGCGTCACCTGGTTTTGATTACCAGGGATGCCAGGAGCTTGTATCCGAATTCCAGCAACAGGCATTAAACCAGCAGGGGTGAGAATCCAGGCTGTAGTCTGTGGTAGTACAGCCACTGTCTGGGTTACATTACTGTTTTGTTGTTTTTTAGCGGCCTGTTTCTTGGCGAGCTTGGCTCTTTTATTGTCCATCAAGGCTTGAGCTTTCATTGTGGGTTTGTGTTTGCGTCTTGGACTGCTCGTGTCCTCTAAAGTCTCTGTAGGTGGTCCAGTTGTGGACACTGAGGTTGTGGGACAGGATGCTGGCTGTGTCACTCTCCCAGATTCTACTGGTTTTGCCAAATTTAGTCCTGGCTGAGGAATTTTTGATACATCTTGTGTACCCAACTGCAGAAGAGTTGTTCCCTGTACCACATTATTTGAAGTGCCTACTTTGTTATCTGTATTTGGCTGGGCAACAACAAAATTCTGGGGAAGTATCAAGGTAGCATTTATCGTCTGACTAGCAGACTGCATGTCCTGTTTTGTTTTCCTTTCCTGCCGAGACCTTGGAGGAATTGCGATTTTGGCTGGCTGTGGAAGTAACTGTGGTTCTAAAAACTCAGGGGACTGCAGGGGCCTAGAATGTTCCATGTGCTCTGTTCTTTCGGCAAGTATGTCTGCTACGGTCTTAATATAACAGTAGGAACCTGGAGTAGGCTTCTTGGCTGAAAGATATTAAAACATAACAGATCTTGGTTTTGGAGGTCGTATTCACAGCACTTTAATGTGAAAAGAAACACAAATGACACCTCATATACCTGAATAGCGTCTCGATTCAGGTCCTGGTGTCTGAGGAGAAGTGGAAAAAAATGTCATTGAGTATTTTTCCAGCATCTACAATGCCTTTATAGATTCCATTTTCATTTAGACATTTTCTGGTTATTACAGGCTACTCTAGGAGGGGAGGCTACTGATTGGAATAGCACATAACAAGGAGCAAATTTTGCAGAGAGAGAGAGAGAGAGAGAGAGAGAGAGAGAGAGAGAGAGATATGTAGAAAACTACAAAAAACAAGATGGGCATTAAAAAATAAGTTGTACTATGCTAATGTTGACAGCAAGAAATGCTTGTTTGAAGCAAAGCCAAATAATATTACAATTTTTGTATATACTACATAGTATATTAACTGATGATATCTCATCTAGTTATATTAGTATTAATATAATACACTTTACCAAGGACACTTTGTCTCTGCGGGCCTCAATGACTTTCTTGCAACCATCAGTATCAACTTTAAGAGCCTGTTTCAAAACAACACATTTTTTAAAAATGCAGCCAGCCTTCAACACTCATTATAATAACAGAATTTCAGAAAGCAAAGACTTCACGTACCTGCAGAAAAAACAAAAACACAGATGATTTTACAAGAGGGACATCTGCTGCTCTTTTTCGAACAATGTCAGCTGTATTGAGACAAAGATAACTTCACTGCTGAAGAAAGAAACCAATTCCCACAACCCAGATGAACATTGATATTTTATCATTATATCCCAAAATTACCTTCACAAACCCGTCTCTCACTGAAAGATAAAGGCATTAGCACATTGCCAACCCATGGAGTAATGGCTAACATGAGATCATAGCTCAGCTGGGTGGTGGCTACAGCCTTGGGGACAGATTTACATCTTCTTCTCTGACTGCTTTCTATTTCACTCTTGTCCTCCTCTTCATCATTTTTGGCATCGTTCCGATTTGTACGTGAAGACAATCTGGTTTTGGGTTTTGGCGTTCTCTGGGAGAAAAGATATTTGTTATTGCGATCCTTTCATTTGCATTGTTTTGTTAACTGTTGATCCGCTATATAAAGATTCTTATACCACAGCAGTGCTGAATTATTGAATCTGAAGGTGCTGATTAATTTTCCACGAAAGCACGGCTCTGACAGCAGCTCCACCTATAATTCAACTCACAGGTTTATCTTAATGTGCTCATTTTAATGCTTTATTGGTTTTAAAGTAACAATCCATGCATATGGATTTGGATGGCAGATAATCGTTTATACGGTGAATCTTTCTGCATGCGTACTTTCATTTAACATTTTATAAAAGGAGTCTTTAGAGTCTGTGCTTTGTAACAGTCCAGGACACAGGACTATCCAGTTTCTAAGCAACATGAAAAGCTGTGCTTTTCTGTCGTTCCGACTTCAAAAGAGAGAAATGAATATAGAGGCTGGTGATGGAATGACTGTTTATAGCTGTTATAACCAAGTGATAACTGGCACTATCTACAAAATTGACAAAATTAACGTAAATATAAATGGTTCAAAAGCATGACGTGCCACAAGTTCCTGTGGTATAAGAGGAACAAAACACTTCAGGCTGTGCTGTTATAGGAAAATAATCCACTTTGGCACCATAGCACCTCATTCCTTATAAAGGTACCTTACCACTTTCATGACAGAGGCTCTCATGCAAATCAGCATGTGTTTAACATCACTTTCAGACACCATGATCATGGCAGGCTCATCGCTTGAATTCTGTAAGTAAAATACAGTAAAAAGAAATCTGGTTCAGTATTAAGAAACTAGGTTGAAAAAAACCTGAGATTCTGGGAGTTTTTTCTTCTGTTAAGTGCTTGAAATAAATACAAATATTGAACATTCAATATGATTTTGAGAACTTCTCTCTGATAATAATAAGAGCACAAAATTATGCATTTCTGATCTCAAAAGTCTAAAACGTACCCGTTTTTGTAAAGTGGGTGGTTTCATACCGACATAAGTCTTCACGGGTTTCCCCGTTGTGTCCAGCACGGTGTTCCGTACGCAACCTCCAGCACTCTCTTCCGCCTCAGTGGGCATCCTTACCAACACGGTCTTCAGTTTCCCTGGAGAATGCGCCAGCCTGTTCCCGCGTGCAGGAATCCACTCCTTCATGTCCGGCTGGACGTACTCGAGTTTAGAGTCCTCATCTGAAGAGACATTTTCCACTGCCTGTTCACCATCGCTGTCCATGTACGGCACTTGCTCCTTTTCATCTTCGGAGGTGTCGCTTTCAGTTTGAAAGTCTTCCTCTTCGTTTTCTTTTTTGACCTTTTTCAGACTCACGCACCTCCTCTTCAACTGCGGCTCACGTTTTACTGGGCTCTCTCTTACTCTTCCTCTCTTTACACCTTTTTTCTGTTTGGAGTAAAATACAGTGTGATGTTTTTAAAGTGCAAAATATGTAGGACCTAGAATGCAAGTAAGAAATTAAACATGACAGGGTGTGCTGTTTTAGGGAAAAACAATCAATTATAGGTATTGTTATGCAGCCTGATGAGAAGTGCTACTACCATACCGATTTTCCAAAAAACAGCACATCCTAAAATTTTTTTTTAATCTTACACCACAGCAATTTTCCAATGATTACAATGTTTTATTAAATTAATGAATGACACTGTGTCCCGAGTTACATTTAATGTTGTGGAGCGTTCACGAGCCTTGCATTATAACAGCTATAAACAGTCGTTTCCTCATTAGCCTAAATAAATATTTCCTTATAGAAATATTCACCATATCAATGATTATATGTTTTTCTTTCATATCTAACATTTTTTTTACAAATCCATTTATCAGCCTCATGCGACACATCTGCCATACAATTCCCTGTGAATGAACTGTTACTATAGAAACGGATATAATAACGTATTAGGATGAGCGCGTGAATATAAACCCGTTATATGAATTGGAGCCGACACGACTTTCAGAGCTGCTTTTCAACACCTTCCGACCAATCAAATTTGAGAATTCAAAAATGCTGTGGTATAAAACCTAATACTAGACAAACACTTACCTCAGCTGACTGCATCATCCATTTCCACTTGTTCAAACACTGGCTGTCGACCCGGTTTGGTATTTCAGAGGCGATCTTAGACCATTTACCTGGTGCAATTGTGCAATTATGATGAGCAAAAAGAAGACAGCAGGGATATTATTTAGTCTGCAAGTGCCTACAGAAACAATAGCGTGGTTTAGATCTATCTACTGATAGCGAGGTTCTATGACAGCGAAAAAGAAAGTTGAAGGTAATCTCTCACCAACACCATATTTCTCTACCAGTTTGGTCAGCAGTTCCACTTCTTCATCACTCCATGTGCCTCTCTTTATGTCATCACGGAGGCAATCCAGATATCTGAGGATATCGAGTGAAGGATGCTTTTTTAACAGTACAGTTGTAAGAATCAAACAAATCTCATAGATATATTCACTTTCATATAATTGCACCTGCTCGACAAAAATCTAAGGAAGTATTTGCAAACCTGTCTCGGCATGAATTGTCTGTCCTTCCAGGTACTTCCAGTCTAATCTTCCACCATTCCTTGCAGCCATACTTCTTTACAGCATTCAGCAGTAACTGCAATAACACCAACCGGAATTAACTTGATCTTATTGCAATATGCCAATGTCGAAAAAAAAACATCAGCAAATTATCGGGCTCCATAATAATGATTACTACTTTTTACGCATTAAGATCCAGAATCAGCACTAAAGCTGCCTCAATGGACAATATATAATTAATGGACAATACTGGTATTTTCATTTGTCCTGTTAGCATGTTGAGTAGGTCACCCAAGACTTCTCTATCCCCAGCCACAATTCCTCCTGGCGCATCCCCAGACATTCCTAAGCCAACTGTGAGATATCATCTCTCCAGTAGGTCATGGATCTGCCCCTCTGTCCAATAGGATGTGTATGGCGCTGGATGCCCTTCCTGACGCAACCCTCCCAAAATTTTATCCAGGTTTTGGACCTGCACTGTCATGTGCCACCCCCAGTGGCTAGGGCTGGTTCCCTGGCCTGGAATCGAACCCGGGGTGCGGCGGTGAGAGTGCCGAGACCTGACCACTGGTCCCCCAGGGACCCAGCTAGCTAGCTAATGTACTTGCTACATTTTGGGAGTCAGTAGTAGTTACATTTGTGAGTTAAGAAATGGATAAACCTCTCACTTTTGTAGTATTGCAGTATCTATCTGGTACCATGCTCACTTAAATGCTACAGTACCATGTGATACTATGTAAGCTTAGTGTACACTGCAGCGCTAATGAACAGATGACAAGAAATGACAGCGATCTGTATTTCACGATTAACGACAGCAATCAAAGAGAAGCAGACTGCAAGATTATTTCTGTGAAAATATCAAGAGGAAGTACTACAGTATCTTCCTACCATACATGGTAACATGATAAAACATCTTATGGTATTTAAACAGCTTCTATAATAGAGAGAACAAGGAGGGTTGAGTGTGCAGGGCAATATCAGAGTGTGGTCATTAAAAAGAAGTGCGAGGTGCGATGAAATGCACACACAGCGTGAAGAGAAACTCTCCCATGAGAGAGCACTTCAGTTCAGTGAGCACTGAGCACTGAGGGTTACACTCCTACACTTTGCTTACAAGTAAATGTGCAAATCATGACACCTTGTTCTCATTTTTAATGACCATGCTCGCTAATACAGTCCTGCATGTTCAGGTTGGCTACCTTTGCTCTATTAAAGATACTGTTTTAACACCTAAAACTCACTATTCATTGCTCAAGTTCATTGGTGTGGTAAGGGGTGTAGGTCTAGTGGTGCTTAAAACTGGCCATCCACAGCTAATTTGAGCTTTAAAGTTTACACTTGTACAGGCAAAAACGAAACTGCTGTCCATACCCGGTCCTCGTCTTTTGTCCAAGGTCCCTTCTTTATCGCAGGATCCAGAACGCATGTCCAACGGTAGATGAGCTGGGAACTATCACGAGCTTCCATAAAGTATGAAACTGAGGAAATATGAAAAATACCCAAATAAAAGCATGATGGTGTTACATCAGTACAACAGAACAGAACTTAAAAACCTGCCCATTAATAATAATAATAATAATAATAACGCCTATCAGGAGCCACTGTAACCGGCTGCAGGTTTCTGCTGCTTTATGATAAAGAGTGTGCGAGTACTTTGAGTATACGGTATGAAGTTGCCAATCCTCATCTTGTCCACAAGCTCTCTGAAGACCTGGTCCTCCTCTTTAGTCCACTCTCTCTTCCTGAACTGTTTAGAGATGTAGCGCTGATATGTCTGGAAACACATGAAAGCTGTCCTGTTGGTCTAAAAAAGAAAAAGAGCGAGAAGATAAATCAGGATATATGTTCTTCTGCCTGTATTTTGCTACAGTCACCTAAGAAACATGTTTTGAAAGTCCAAGTTGTCTAATCCCAAATGCCTTACTGACCACACAAACCGAAACAACTTCAGTACACTTACTCCAAGAGATTCTGCAATTTGGTCCCAGTGGCAGCACATGTACTTTTCCACAACGTCTGCAAGCTTCGCAATCTCATCCTGACTCCATGTTGATTTGTTAATGGAGGGATGCAAGTAATTCTGCCAGAATCTCATCAGATCATCAGGTTGTCGAAGGCCCTCGAACTGCATCATAATCATATGTGAAAAGGTGAAAAGGTCAGGTGAAGAAAATCAGGAAGCCACCATCATGTATATTTCGGCGAGGAGCTCTAGTGTGTGAGATGGATGCGACTTTGTCAATGTCCAATACAGAAAATGGCAATAAATCACAAGAAGCACAAGACGTACATCAATATTTGATATTTTGTCCCAATCATGATCGTCATGGCAATTCCCATACAGCTGATCTTCCTTCATTGACCTGCAAAACAATAAGTTCATAAGAATGAACATTTAATGTCATGAGCAAATTAATGTTCACATTTTTTTCCCACAGTTAACTCAAGAATGAATATTTAAGTGAGATCACTATTCAGATTCCTAGCAAAAAAAACAAGAAAACCCATTTTGGGGGGCCAGTCAGATAAGCAAAGCAATGACGCCCCCTAGAGCTGAGATTTACTCTGTAAATCTGACACTCCAGTTCAAAAAAAAATAAAACAAAACAAAAACATATGAGCTAGTAAATCATTATAGGAACCTTATTTCTGTGATGTCCTTCTCTAAAAGAGCAATTTGGTTTTGTAGTTCTTTTTTTTCAGCATCCGCTGCTTTAGACATCTTTGCAGTTAAGTACTCCATCCTGTAAGACAAGTGAAAACGAGCCATAAGCCTCGAGGCCAGTATGCTCCACAGATCCGGTGTAAAGTTCAAAACAATACACAGGGAAATGTCTAGCTCTTTAGATTTGTTTTGTTTTGTTTTTTTAAACGTACTTTGACAGTTTGGGCTGCAACATGCGTTTCATAGTGTCTGTGACCACGGAGTTGTTCAGCAACGTTTTTTGCCATGGCTCCCCTGTAAGACAGAACCAAAATTATGCATCAATTATATCTATACGCAGCAAGTCAAAGACATTCGGCTCAACGAAACTTGCAACGTACATCTTCTAATTTTCATTTCATCACAAGGCTTGGTCCCATGAGTCAATCTCTCTTTAGTTTCTTCATTGGCTGGAGGGCCCTATACAGGAAAACGACAAAAAACATAAAGGCTTAAAGGCTTCCAACACATCAGTATGTGCACATAAAGAGATGAACATCTATTTAATCTGGATTATGGAAGGATGCAACCCTTCAAATGACTTTTTTCCACATCATTTTTAAAACATTTAGTAACTTGCAGATCTTACCAAACCAGTCAGCTTGTCTTTGAAATACGGTTTCATGAAGCTGCCAAGGAACAGTTTGAGATGAGGCAGGCCAGGAGAGATATAAGAAGGACCAGAGAGCTGCTCTTCAAGCTCTTTCTGTTAAAAAAACAAACAAAAAAAAACAACTTACTTTTATCTAATATCTATCAGTGTATTAAACCTGAAGAAATCATTCTTTAAAAGCACACTTTATTTCTGTATATGAAAGTAATTAACCTGCTGTTCACGATTTTCTTTAAGAAGCCTCTCCAAGTCAGCTAGTTTTTCATTCAGCACCTCCTGATAAACCAAATTCATCTGAAGACAAGTTTCCAAATCTTGAGGAAGATCCAAATCCTCGTCACTCTCTTCATCATTCTAATTTTTTTTAGAAAAGAAAACGAATCAATATTTTTTTTTTTTTTTTTTTTAATGAAATGACAAATGAATAGTGATTAAATCTATACAGCGATACAAATACTCACAGAATCCGTCAGACTGCCATGTTCGCTGTCTGAACAAATACACACACACACACACACACACACACACACAATTAAATCCATACTTTGTTAAGGGAGAATATAAAACTTTAATGACTTATTGACATGACCCTGAAAATGTAATTCAGGACTATTAGCAGTCACAAAAACTGAATTTTCCTAGTTTTGTAATAAATATTTGAGAAACAGAAGAGTTCATTGTTAAAATATAAAGTTATAAATTCTTAAAGTATGTAAAAATAAAAAGTTTCAGAATGTAATCTTGCCTCCACACGGCCCACATATACACTCACCAGCCACTTTAATAGGAACACCTGTACACCTACTCACTCATGAAATTATCCAATCAGCCAATCATAAAATCATGCAGATACAGGTCAAGAGCTGCAGTTAATGTTCAAATCAAACATCACAAAAGGGGGAAAAAAATCACTAAGCTCAGGGAGTTTGACTGTGCTGTGGTTGTCGGGAAACTGCTGATCTCCTTTCACATACAACAGTGCCTAGAGTTTAGACAAAATGGTGTGAAGAACAAAAAAAAAATCCAGTGAGTGGAAATTCTGGCAGGGGAAACACCTTGTTTCTTAACGTGAGGTCAGAGGAGAATGGTCAGAATGGTTTCGAGCTGATAGGAAGCCTACAGTGACTCAAACAACCACTCTTTACAGCTGTGGTGTGGAGAAAAGCATCTCAGAACATGCCGAACCTTGAGGCCTTGAGGGAGAAGACCAGATATGGCTCCACTCCTGTCAGCCAAGAACTGGAATCTGAGGCTACAAAGGGAACAGTTGAAGACAGGGAAAGCATCGCCTGTTCTTTTTCCAGTATTCAACAGTTAGGATATAAAGATGTGACCGAATGTTTTGACCTGTATCTGGATGATTTTATGCCTTGTGCTGCTGCGACCTGATTGGCTGATTAGATAACTGCATGAATGAACAGGGCTACAGGTGTTCATATTAAAGTGGCCGGTAAGTTTATACGGAAACAAGAAGCATCATGTACTTCTTGTTTTTTTTTTTATTCCTTATGGTTGTGATGTCACAACTACACACACGTTTACCTGTCAGGGCATCAACCAGAGCCGCGTCTGCACCGAGCGTTCGCTCTAACTCCTCGATCTCCCTCTGGATTTGCTGTCGCTCGGCTTCCAGGTCCTCATGTGCCTGCAAGGGACAGAAGTATAAACAGTTGGGCATGTGAACTGCTGTACCACTCTTCGTTAATGGGGAAATCTTGGACAGAATTGTACGTACAACATCCCGATCTGCATGTCCACTATCATCCGACTCCTCAGCTGCCAAAGGGGTAGAAAGAACATGTAAGTAAGTGTGTGTGTGTGTGTGAGATACAGTACACAGTGTGTCATCTTACTGGGATCATGTTTGACTCACCACTGTCACTGTCTGAAGACAGCAAGTCTGCAATGTTACTGCCATTTCCCAGAGTGCTCTCCAGAGCCAAAATCTCATTCTCTAACTTCTTCCTCTGAGTCAGCAGGTCTTCTGAAAGTGCCATTTTTCTTTACCTACATATGCAAATATCACATACTGAGATAAAGTCACTGTCTGGCACACAAAGGGTGTGTAGCAATTATCTCAGACTGCACATTATTTATTAAGGTAACACTAGTAGTTGGCAGTTTAGTCCCTCTTGCACTGTTCACAGATAAATCACCTCTGAATTTTCTCAGCATAATATACTACATACCGAAAATGCAGCTCCAAATTACACTGGAGACAAGATCAAAACTTAACACTTTAATGGAAACATAATTGGCCTCTGT